TTACACTATCCTTAGGGCAGCCAATAGTAGGAAAGATCAGGGTACTATGTAGGGGCTCTAGGGGGCTTGCTCAGGCGGGCACTGCCACTTCCCGGTGTGCCGAGGAAGCTTGTATAGGCGGAGTGTGCCCATGCCATTGCATCTGCCACTGCACTGAGAGAAATCTCCTGAGCTCTTCCCACAGCCACCCAACTGTCAATGTACAGAGTTCATGACACCCACTGTATGCACTTAAAATATGCGTAATGCCACTTTATTTTCTTGGTGTCACCTTTTTCCTCATCCCCACTTATGTGATCTTGCACATCACGAGTCTATTAGTGCAGTGCCTGAAGTCATAACCTCTGGGCAGGAGCTTTCAATATTTTCTCAGCTACTGTGGATGTGTGTATGTATGTGAGCATGCATGGGGAAAGAACTAAATGCCCCCCGTTTAGGTGAGATGGTGCTTTTCAGACAACTTGTGACCGATGTTCCCTTCCCTGGAAGTGAGCTTGGCAGAGCCCACTGGAGTCTGGCAGGTTCTCTGCGATTCTGGAAAGTGGACTAAAGGTGCTGGCTCCACCGTTGCCTCTCCAGGAACAGCAGTAACTGATATCTTGCCTTTTGCCCTTAAAGGAAAACCACCTTTGAAGAGAAGCACTGGGTGGGGGAGGGGTGTAAGAGGGAGGCAACTGAAATCTCTGGAGAAAAAAAGCCAGTGATATTATCTTAGACCCTAAACTGGGACCTGCACTAAAGACAAGTGCCTGCGCAGAGCTGGGGGCCCACTTGGTATCCAGACCAACCCTGGGAGATGCGTGTAGGGGCAGCTTGAGGAACATTTCAAGGAAAGTTTGTTGGGCCTGGCCCGCGTGGCTCAGTGGACCTATGAACCAAGAGGTCACGGTTTGATGCCCTGTCAGGGCACATGCTCAGGTTGAGGGCTCCCCAGTGTGGGCGTGCAAGAGGCAGCCAGCCAATCAATGATTCTCTCCCATCATTTTTTTAAAAAATATATTTTATTGATTTTTTTGAATATCATATTGAGAGAACTTTATTAACATTACAACAATTTTAAACACACATTTACAGTGACCAACAGTAACTAAAATGGACAAGGCCAAAAGAATATTCCTTATGATTCTTTCCACTAAAATACCTCTACGATATTGAAAACTTGCATTTCAGGCCAATGTGCTGCTGGAGAGATGCAGACGCTCTAGGTGGGTACGTTACCCCGAGCTTCCCTAGCCATT